AATGAGATTTTTCAAAAATATGCGATAATTTTTATGTTACACTTGATCTTGGTCCCTGATTCGCTGTAGATGCGTCACGTTATTAAAGATCGTCAATTTTATCCAATCAGAAATGCAATTTACGCACGAACAATAGTAACTTGGGGAAAATTAGTGGGCCCAACAATGTACCAAAGTAATTTGGTAATTGACGAGGTAAATCGGAAGTTAGATGAAAGATATGTTTAGACGTTTCAATTTTACCAATAAAAACTACAATGTATTAAACTTGGTAATATAAGTAGGTTTACACCGCTAATCTATTTGTCTATAACTTATTTACTTTTCTAAATAAATTAGTGAGATGAAGCAATAAAAGTATGAGCTTGCGAACTTTATGAGAGGTTAAAATATAGTGTTACGTCTAAGATTATTAAAGCCGTTACTTCCAAGTTTATTAATTTAGAATGATGGTTAAATTCGTTTGGTATTAATTAACTGTTATTATGCACAATTAAAAAATTATTTATATAGTTTTTATTGTCTCTTTAAAAATAAATAGTTCCCTATTCTTAGTACTTTCCATAACTTTTTTCTTATTTATGCCACAGTAATATCATATAAGATTCTTGCGAATAATTCTATTAAATTCCTGCTGTTACTGGCAAAACCGCCTGTTCATAAAAATCAAGAATCATGCGGAACGATGCACGTAATAGGATTTATAATAAATTTATTGGTTATTTTGTCTATTTCTAATGATACCTTCTCAAGCACTATTGAAACTTCATTTAGAGTTGGACGTTTTCCTGGATCTGACGACCAGCATCTTTCGTAGAGATTGGCAAAATCTTTAGGCGTTTCGACAACAATTTTTTCTCTAATATGTTTTGTTGAAATTCCTACCACCTTTTCTATATAGGATAGGTTACTAAATGGAGGAATTCCACTTGTAAGTTCCCAGAATAATATACCTAGACTATAAATATCCGATTTTTCATTACGTTTATAATTTTTTTCATCTAGAAGGTATTGTGGATCTATGTATTCTATCTTTCCTTGTATATGTGAGCACGAAGAGGTATTTTCAAATGTTTGAGATATTCCAAAATCTGAAATCAAGGCTTGGCCATCGTTTATAAGAATATTCTTAGAATGCTTGAAAAATTTGCAGCAAATGTTTAGAGTTGATAATTGAAATTTAGTGAAATTTAGTAAAAAAATTAAAAATTATATTTTACCAGATCCCGATGTATTATATGTTTATTGTGCAGAAATTCCAGCCCATTAACAATATCTTTCGCAATTTAAATAGTTCGGCACATGAGATTTTATAAAATCCATTATTTTGTTTTGCTTGTAAATATGCCCGTAGGGTTCCATTATTAGCATATTGCAATACCATCATGAAATTACCTTTTTTTATATCTATAGGTTTATTTTAGATATGTAAGTAAATTATCATTAAGAAATAGATTTTCAAGATTAATCATTATACCAATCGAAACCCCATATAGTTTGATGATGTTAGGATGAGAGATTCCAGAAAGGATTTCAAGCTACATGTATTTATTTTATTATAATAGGACTTATATAATTTCGTAAGTAGAGAAATACAAGCGATAACAAAACAATACCTCACGAATAAATTTTCGGAATGTTTTGTCGGTCATGCAAAGGTTAGTATTAAGGCTTTTTAGTGCGTATACTTTTTTTTGTGCAATTGCTAGGTATACATTTGTAGATGCTCCATTCCCTATAAGTTTATGGTCTCTAAATAGTGAATAATCTAGTTTTTTTATATTATTTTTTTGAAGTATGCTTCTGTCCTTTTAAAATGTTCAGATACTAATAAAATTTTATGGCATTAATATATCAAAATCTATATTAATTTAGTGTAAAATATTACAATAACTTACATCCCCTATAAAAAAATTTTTACAGATATATTCCGATTTTGTTCCGAACAAGTCGAACCCATCCCGATCATATTCTGAACTGAAATTTGCATAATATAAATTAATGTATCGATATTGATATTGCTCCGAAAATGTCCTAAGTTTTTTTTAACAAAAAATTATTCTGGTTTGGAACTTTATTATTCGGCTTTATTCATTTTTTTTCTTCGTTCCTTTTCTTTTTTTTTCCTTCGTTCCTTTTCTTTTTTTCCTTTTTTCCTTTATTTTTTTTTTCCTTCGTTCCTTTACTTTTTTTTCCTTCGTTCCTTTACTTTTTTTTCCTTCGTTCCTTTACTTTTTTTTCCTTCGTTCCTTTTCTTTTCTTTCATTCCTTTTTCTTCATTTTTTTTTTCTTTGTTCCTTTTCTTTCCTTTCGTTCCTTTTCTTTTTTTTTCGTTCCTTTTTTCTCCTTTGTTCCTTTTCTTTTCCTTTGTTCCTTTTCTTTTCCTTTGTTCCTTTTCTTTTTTCTTCGTCCCTTTTCATTTTTTTTCTTCGTTCCTTTTCATTTTTTTTCCTTCGTTCCTTTTCTTTTTCCTTCGTTCCTTTACTTTTTTTTTCCTTCGTTCCTTTACTTTTTTTCCTTCGTTCCTTTTCTTTTCTTTTG